ACTCAGTGTGCTGGATGTTCCCTGTAAGATGCTAGCCCGCAAGTTTGCACGATGTACTAAAGAAGTTAAATTAACGCCTTTTTACAGTGTATTTATTATCAGTTTATAGTGTATTTATTAAATGCTGCTTGTGGGTCAGATATACGCAGCGGGCATACCACTTCAGTTCAGTGTAATATTTTTTTTAGAATAATGGTGACAAAAGAGTACACAATCCAACTGATTATAAGTATATGCTAAGGCCCACAGACATTTGCGTCTATCCTCAAAAAATGCAGATGCGTTGTCACAAGGACCTTGCTAATTATTAAGATACTTATCTTAATAAATTTGAAATAATATTTATGTAATGATATTATATGTGAGCTGGAAACCTTTGTCAATAAGATGGGAATGACATAGTTACAGACAGTATGTATATCGAGAATCGAAAACAAAAAGCTAACTTTTGCTTATGTTAATAGTCATAAATTTAGTTCTAACTGGGTCTTCAACCTTACTTAGTAAATAATCACAAATATAAATATAAAATTATTAATTTTATTAAATCGTGGAGTGGTGATGTAATATCGGGTAGTGGATAGAATAACCATATCGTCCCGTGGATGCCATAAGAAGTGACAAAGAGAAACTGAAATAGATGGGTAGCAGTTTCTTCCAGATAGCAATTCAAAATAATAAAAAACTGCGGTTGTCAACCCTCCTGCCAGGCGTGGCAATTATGTCTATCCATGAAAGGCCATCTGTGGGAGAGGCCTGTGTTCAGCCATGACCTTTATAGGCTGTAATGGTAGTAGGAAATTAAATTTTCTTAATTATCTGCCGCTTGGAGGAGGAGAAAATATTACAGATAATAGGATTGACTAAAAAAGAGACCACTTAACCCAACTTGGTTAGGTGGTCTCTTTTAGATGTATAATACTTCTGGTACTTGGTTTGTTAAACTACCTTTCTATCATGGCAATAAATGTAAATCTTTTCTATAATTAATAAAGCACATATTCGGCAGCGTACTATTACGGCAGATAAAGAGAAGGATTAAGGAGTTACAATTTTACATATTATATACTTATTCGATTATGACATATTAAAGTCGCAGTATTAGCAGCAAATTACTGACAGGAAACTAATTAACAGCAGTATTACGAACTAACGTTATATTAAAATCGCTTTTAAAGAGCTAAAAGTTATTATTTCAAATGTGTTCATTAAGGATATTATGATTTCCAAACGTAAAGTTCCTTTCTGTTTTACTTTGTTACATTTTACTATTTTATGCTACAGGCCAAATTTAAGTAATTATCCATCCAGGTACACATTTCCATCATTTTCGCACTATTCTTTTAGTTTTTTCCAAGTAATCACATAATTTGAAACATTGCGTTTCATTAATATTTTTTAAGTTATGCTTCTTTGGCCACTTTTAAGGTAAAATTTTTGAAAGTGGCGTTTGCATAATCTATAATATATATGCTTACGAAAATTTGGCAATAATATAAAGTTGACGTCGAAAAGAATTAAATTGCACTATTCATAAATGGAGGAAGAAAATTCTATATATGTCTCATTGCTGGGTACAGGCTTCCTCTAATTTCTAAGAGGTAAAATCCTCTCAGCCAGGGAAATGTCCGTATTTCTTAGAAACGTAGCATTCCTCACGACGTTTCCTTCACCACCGTAAGTCAATACGTAAATTTGCGATTACCGATATCTTTGGTGCCGTCAGGGACAAAACCCGGGTTGCTTGCCTACTGTAAAATTTTCTGCGAGCGCTTAGCTCTTGCGCTATTACGGTGGACCACAGTTTATACATAACATGAAATTTTTGATCGAGGGAAATATTAGAAAAATCTCATGGCTTCCGACAGATGGTGATAAAACCGTCTCGTTTACGCAGACGCCGGCTATGTGAAGCAGCGCCAAAGCTGCCATTGAACCCTTTTCGAGTTAACTGTCTAATAAACTAATAAAACCGTCTGCAAAGCGTGACAGTTACTGCTCTTTGAAACTACAAGAGGTTTGTTTTACAAATGAGACAAATGTAGGCTGCTACTATACTATAGATGGCAAGTATGTACTCTATTTACAGTTAAAAGCTATAATGTATAAAAAAATAGAGCAATTCAACAAATCCAATGCGTGGTTAACTTAAACAAGGAAATCATCAAAACATATAAGAATTAAAATAACTTTGTCTTTAAGGTAGTATTGCGTTATTCAAGTCGGAGCAACGCTCTAGTTACTAGTATGTAATTTTATACAGACCAGACTAAATGAGAACAGACAGTCTTGAACAATAATTAAAAAAAATATTTAGCCTATTTGTATTATTTCATCAAGCTTGTTAGGACACACGAGATTTGCTTGTCATAGAAGGATTTGATAGACATCTTGAACCATCACCATTTAACATCTAATCTAATGATCAAATATTAGCCTAATGTTGATATAATAAATCTTTATACAAAAAAGACTGCTAAGATTTCATTAAATTGTAGATGTATTACGTTATTACCCAATTAGAATGTAAATTTTAAAAATATGCATCTTATAATGGATTTTTGGCTTAAAGTAGTTGATAAGTACATATTACTCGTAGCATAATTTTTTCATTATTTTTTTTATAAAGACAGACGAAAAACCTATCTTAAAGTCGATCTTGCGCTTTACTGCAAATCTTTGGACTTTTTTCTTGTTTATTTTCTGGTGAGATATATTTACAATATTTTAAAAGATCTAAGTAATTAGTATAATAATTATCTCTCTTCGTCTGCCAATGTTTGAGGAGTGAGGAGAAGTTTCATATTATTTTTGAGAAGTTTTGAACGTCCAAAGTTTCTCCTCAAACTTTGGACGTTCAAAACTTCTCAAAAATAATATGCCTGTAAGGTGTTTTACAGGGTATCAAAAATTTTTTTTATTTTTTTTAAGGTTATCCTAATAAGATAGTAGAACACGTTTAAATGCGTAATAAATTACTTATAATGCTAGCTTTGTGAATTATCTGAGCGTTATGATTTGGAAAACATTTTATGAAATTAGCATCAACCGAAATCCGGTCTAGAATTTTTTTAAAGTATAATAGATTACAGTCGAGATCTGAAAAGGGGTATCTGAAAAAAGACAAAACATGTGTAATTTAGACACAAATCTTAATGTCCATTTTGATAATACCTATTATATCGTGAGATACTGGCAATAGCAAATAAATGGTTTAATTATTTTATTGAGATTTTAGACTATGCTCTCACATAATAACACCTTAAAAATATACCCCACGTATATTACGTTAGGAACAGAAGAAATTGTGATTCAAGAAAAATTTACCAGGTCTGTCTGGGCTCGCTGCACCCTCAATTATTTCTACCACCAAACAGCAATGCTACCATTACTGTGTTCCTGGTGAAGAGTAATAAGGGTCCTGTGATTTTAGCAGTGAAGCATTTCGTCTAAGCTTAACAGTTGAAGCTATTTGTGGCCTCCTTTGTCTGATGTTAATTACTGTCCATAGTCTGCAGTTGCCACTTACCATCAGTTAGATTATAACCCGTTTTTTACTAATATTATTTTTGTAAATCAGAGATCAATTTAACCGTAATCTTTTTATCATAATATACATGTAATAAATATTAGATTGATTTGAGTTATGATAGTTTTCAACTACTAGGTTACAGCATAGTGTTTGTAATAAGCGATGTATAGTGTTACAGTGTAACTATAAACTAACGAGTAGCTTGCCGAGTAGCGGTGGCATAAAAGAATGCGCTAGCCCTTGTACTGTCGTAAAAGGCAACAAATGGAAACTGAAACTGAAGATGGGCAGCAGCATCTTCCCGATAATAACTTAAAATAATATAGAATCTGCGGTTGCCAACGCGCCTGCCAAGGGTGGCAACTCTGGCAAAATCCACCATATGAGCAATTCTATGGGGGAGGCTTATGTTCAGCAGTGGACTTTTAGTAGTCTATAATGAATGAATTATAGACTTTAAACTAGCCAATATATAATATATATAGTATATAATATATAATTTATTTTAATATTTTCTTTCCATTATTTGGCAGTCAGCACGGATCACATCAAATAACATAGAATCCGTAACTTGCCAGAGAAAACAGAGCGATAAAACGTGATCAAGATTTATGTGATTAACTAATAGAACATTCATAAATATGCTATAGATAGAACGTTTAGTAACATTTAAATTATTCTAACAGCATTTCCCTTCTTACTCCAGTTTTAATAGAAAGGAGGCAAAGTACCTGAATCATTGTATATGACGTAATTTTAAAGCAGAGCAAAGATTTATTTTAATATTAAATACAAGTTACATAATCTCTAAATAAAAAATAATCTCACCTAAGGGCGAGAAGTTTTTTTTTATAGCATCGGGTGACAATCGAGCACACAGTCCACCTGATGGTAAGTGGTTACTGTGACCCATAGACATCTACATCTATCCTCAATAAAGACTCAAGATGCAGATGCGTTGTCACCCGTGAGGACTAAGATGGAATGCCTCTTTGCCAGCAAAAAGGGTCTCCGGCTCCCTACACTCACCATACGAAACACAGCAGCGTTAAGCTGCTATTTTACGCTGGTTTTCTGTGAGAGCGTGGTCCTTCCCCGTTCGAGCCGACCCATTCGTGCTACAACCATAATATAGCTGCAGCATGGCTCTACCACGTAGAAAACGTAGATCTATATTTGCAGTGACTTATTAACAAGAGACCCTATAATTATTATTATTTACAATAGCCATCAAAAATTGTCTGATTTCCTAGCATCGTAATCTTGACATATCCACGATTTATTTACCTTGAACCACGTGCCATAATTTTACGTAATCTTTGTATTATTATCAAACAGTTGTACTCTTGCGTACACGCAGCGTACAAGTATCGTATCTCGCGGGTAAGTAATATAAAAGTCAGCGATTGCAACGCAAAGCATTAGTTGTGTGTGGTCGCTCAGACGAAGCAAACCTAACAAACAGAAAATGTTTACCAAAGTAAGTGTAGACCGTACAGTAGCACTATCCCGTTACAAAATATAGTGAAAGGATTATCCGCAATATCATTGCTGCCACAAGTGCATTAAAGCGATCCAGATCTAACCATTCCCCATACTCGAATGACTCATTACTTTTCACACTATTGCAATATGCATTATTCTTTTGTTCTTTCTTGAAAGCGTTTTCAAATATTATGTAATACATTTGTTTGTATTAAGCACAATAACGTTTTTATATATTATAAAACTACATTATTCTATTAAAAATGTATATTTATTTAGATTAATTTAATTAATATTTTTTAACGGTTAAAAGTCATATAAAGGGGAAATTGGAATTTGTTATATTATCTCTGTATTTTAAAACATTAGTAAATTAAATTTATTTAAATTATTTTCTCTTGTTGAACATTTGTAACATCTAAATAGTGAAGGAATTTCTTATTATTATATATTCAAAATATTCTAGTTCAATAGAAAATGTAGATTACTAAGCTAGAGCAGGTAAAGTTTAATGTAGAGCATTCATTAAATATTAAATTTAGAGTATAAACATATTTAAATTTCAATTCATAATCATATTCATTTAGGTTTTTTTAATATCCCAAAAATAATGTTATGTTGATAAAGTTGCATGTTTCACTTTTATATTTGCAGGCAGCATTATTTTTATCTCTGGTGGCAGTAGCCGCAGCGGGTGTGGTGCAACTCGGACATGGATATGGCGGTGAATCCTACGATCATGAATCGGCTGGCTATGCTCCCGTAGCCCAGCTCGCATACGAGGGTCATGATGACCAACACGTTGATTATCATGTAAGAATACCTTAATACCTGACATTTTTTTCTGGATCAAAAATAAACGAATAAACCTCAATAAAATAACTGTTAGATTTGAAAAGATAACTGAATATTAAATTAGTCTTTCTTAAATTAAAATTCTCACGTAATTCATAATAGATTTTGAAGTAATTGAAATAATAATTATTTATTTAAATGTATAAATTTGAACAATATAACATGCAGGTAATTTATCGGCAGCCATACAACCACTTCACTTCTGCGATACACTTTGTCTTAGTAAGCACTCAAGTTCCAATTTTGAATATCCTCATAATATGTAGTTACATTAAAAACTTTATCCCCTATTTCTTTACACTTATAGTGGAGTATTTCTTTAAATTAAAGTAAGACTACCCTTGAGGTAAAAAAAAAGAATCATTAAAATCAGGTTGCAATTGACAAGGACATTGCGTAACATACATTCAAAAAATTACAGTGATAGTAGAATTTGAGAACTTTTTACGGCGGCTAAAATGCATATGCAGCCTTAAAACAATAATCATAACTCGACTCGAAACTATGGCAACGGTTCCAAAGCTCATTAACATTACAAAGCCGTACTTTTAGCATAAAATATAACCTTAATGATCAAAACACATTAAAAATTGGTCAAGAATACATACATATATATATATATAATGATAATGCCTTTAATGGTAACAAACGAGTTACATAAGCTTAAAAGCCATAAAGTAAAGTTATACTACCAGGTCTCAGTAATGACGTAAATACAATAGTAAGCAACTAATTGATCACTTGCGTAAATTTAACGTGATATTTTCCTGGTCAGTAATTTCCTGGATACGATATTAATCTAGTATCCACACAATCCGGCAACTTCGAGTAACTTTATGTTGCAAAACTGCATCACCGCTACTATTATTGCACTAAATAAACAATAAATAAATGCTAGAAATTATTTGTAGTGTTAACGTAAAGTAAGTATGCAAAACGCCCGCCGAATAATCTTAGACGTATAAAGAAACATTCCGCATAATAGACTCATCCAAAGAAAACATTTATGTTAAAACAAAAATGTTTCTAAAACTAACAAATGATATTAAACAACACTTGTAAATTTACTTATTGTGTTCCATTACCTACAGAAATTGCTGTAAATAGGTCTAGCACTCAAACTACGATTTACTTTTGATGACCATCTAGTAGAGCGCTTTCGTAAATCGTTGTCTACGAGCTGTAATTTGATATAATCCGTTTTGTGTTACGTAACTATTTTCCATATCTAACTATTGAGTAAATCCTTAGTCGTGACTGCTGGGCCGCTAGTGCAGTGCCGTTCTCAAGACTCTTACGAAATTTACAAGTCTTGAAGGTGTATATAATGACTGTCATGATTCATGGGGGAAATGGATCGTTATTTGCTAAAGCTGTACGCGTGTTCCCACGCTTGTTTCATTAGTTGATCAGGATTGTTAACAACTGACACCAATCCATACACCCGTCTTACATAAATAGTTGTCAAATTCATCATCATCATCGCTATCACAGCTCATCATAATTCCACTGCTTAAAATATATCTCAACCAAAGAATGTCATAAAGCAAAGTCCTCAGCCACGTGCATCCATCGACTTCCTCCATCTCTTACCAGGTCGTCACTCCATCTGCGTTACCTTGTCTACTTCAGTTACTTAATAGGTCATAATATTATAGATATTTAAAGATATATTTGACAATTTCTGTTACCTATTACAATAATAATTAATATTTCACAGTCTCATCCTAAATACGACTATTCCTACTCGGTGTCTGACCCTCACACCGGTGACCACAAGACCCAACACGAAGCTCGCGACGGTGATGTTGTGAAGGGAGAATATTCGCTGCTGCAGCCTGATGGCTCTTTCCGCAAGGTTACCTACACCGCTGACGACCACTCTGGGTAATGTTTTAATTATATTTCTTCGATATTTAAGAGTTTACTGGGTCCCACACTCGCTTTGTAATCAGAGTTAAATACAATAAAAGAATTGTTTGTCTGTTTATCTGACCGTGCTAATCTTCTAAAAGGTTAAACCGATTGTAATGAAACAAATGGTCATTAATGATTATCATGAATCTAAATGATGACATAAATGACTTTTATAGATACTAATCAGGCAAAACTGGGGCGGGTCGCTAGTAAATAAATATATATCAAATTCTTAATACAAAAGCCTAAAAAATTTATGCTTGTATTGAATAATAAAAAATCATAAGAAATTCAAATGTCATAAAAGCAGCCATTATGCTGTCGCAATAGATACAATAATGTAACTTAAGTGTTAGAAGTAATTTTTACATTATTTAATTTCAAGGCTTTTTTTGACTACTACCTAATATGTAAAATTTCCTTACAGCTTCAACGCGATCGTGCATAACACAGCGCCCGCGCACCAGGAGTACCACCACTAACCAACGTTGGCTTTAGGCCACTGCTTTCATGTGATATTATGTTATACTTTTAATACTTACCTAGATAGTTATTAAACTTTTATTTTAAGACTGCAATGAAAATAAACTATTCCTAAACAAACTGTTCTTTAATTATTTTATACTATTATTAGATTACAATGTGAACCGGAATCAATGAAATGATTGACGCAATTTTAACTAGTAATAGGTAAGGTAATATTTATAAGACCAATATTGGAAAGAAGCATCTCCACAAAACACCTATTACTCTCTACCGAGAGAAGAATGATATCTCCAAACTAAAAAAAAATAACATACGTATCTATAAATATATACCACTAGCGCCACAGTGGGTGCCCATATAAAACTTTATTCGCAGGAATTTCTACCATTAGTATTCTATAACTTTTGAACTCTTTATCTAAGACAAATTAGAGTAATTTTGGCTCAAACCTCATAAACTTATTCGGTGGATTCCTAACATTTGAGAGAATTTGTAGCAAAATTACCCAAAATTAACAAAGAGGAGCCATAATATAGATAACTGTTCACCGTATAGTGGCAGTGTAAGAATATCCACCACCCCATATTGTCCCGTAGGTGTAGCAAGAGGAGTCAGAGTGAAACAAATAGGAGATAGACAGCAGCGTCTTCCTAATAACGACTAAAAATAAAAAAGCGGTAGCCAAGGCCAACCCTCTTGCTAAGCATGGAAACTATGGCAAATATCCCCCTTATGAGGCCTATGTTCAGCAGTGGACTTTTATGTCGAATGAATAGATTTTATGTATGATGTAAATAATTTGAGCCAAAAAAGCAGTTACATATTGTTTTTATGTAACTGCTTTTTGGGCTCAAATTATTTAGATGAAATTTTGTTATTTTATAATGTTTTACTTTACAAGTTTTTTGCTTTCAAACACTCACAAAAATAGTTTAAGTTTAAGGAAAAGATCACTTGAGGATAAAAAATCATAAAGCATACAGATACGTTGCCACCCTTGACTAAGATGGAATGCCTCGTTACCAATAAAAATAATTTCTAGTTCTAGTCAATTGTCATACGATATACAACTTCCTCCAGTTGAACCGACCCATCCGTAATGCTCAAGGTAGTTTAGTGAGTGATGGAGAGGGTGTGATCAGAGTTCCTTACAAGATAAATTTCAAAATAAAGTCAAGAAAGTAACCGGCATAGCCGAATTGATCAGTAATCTTAAGTGGCATTAGGCTGGCCATATAGCTCTAAGAACCGACAACCGAAAGGAAGGAAAGTTTCGCTAATGACGATTTCGCACCGATAAACGAAATTTAAGGCAGCCCACCACTAGATGGAATAAGGACATGCAGGAACTTGATAGATAAATATGGCTCGGGACCGTGTTTTGTGGCATTCCTTAGAGGAAGCCTATGTTCAGCAGAAGACTTGTGAAGGCCTGTAATAATGAAGATATATAACATGACGGTGTAAGTAGAAATATCTTCCAATAATGCTAGCTAGCGCATAAAAATTCTAAGAGTCTGGGTAGGTTTAAGGTACCATTGAACTTAAGAAAGTTGTTATTTTGATGATGATTACTGAGAATAGATGTCAGAAAATGTCTTAATTTCGCACTATAGGGATTATAAATTATATTTAAAGAATGCCAACCTTAATGCCTAACCTTATTGCCTTCAAATAATCCTAGCCAACCGTTAAACTTGACAACTTCGAGCCTCCCGAACAAGCCAGTTTCCGAAAAGGCTTTAGCGCCATAGACCACATACATACCCTTCGGCAAATTGTACAGAAGACCAAAAAGTACAATATGTCACTTTTTCTTGCGTATGTGGATTTTGAGAAAGCCTTTGATTCCGTCAAAATTTGGGCGGTGCTGTAGGCCTTCAGCGGTGTCAAGTTGACTGTCGGTATAGCGAACTGCTGAAGTATTTGTACCAGTAGTCCTATGATGGCAATCCGAGTACAAAATCAGAGTACTAAACCTATCCAATTGCAGAGAGGTGTAAGATAGGGTAACATAATATCCCCGAAACTCTTCACCGCTGCATTGGAAGACGTTTTCAAGCTACTGGAAAAGATACGGTTTTAACACCTTCGATTTGTCGACGATATTATAGTCCTTATGGCAGAATCACTGGAGGACCTAACCACTAATAGTATCTCCCAACGGATAGGTCTTAAGGTGACAGGACAAATTAAAAATCATGTTTAACGTCCATATCACACCTATGCCGGTTATTGTTGGTAGTACTAAGCTCGAAGTTGTTGACGAGTATGTTTACCTGGGACTATTTGTCCGACTAGGTAAGTTCAACTTTAAACGAGAGGTCAATCGACGGATTCGGAGTGATAAATTTAAAAATGAGGATATCCGTAGTAGAACCAGAGTAACCAACGTAGTTCAAAGCTGAAGTAGCAATAGGCCAGCCATATACATAGCTCGAAGAACCGACAATCAATGGGAAATAGAGGTTCTCGAGTGGCAGCCTCGTACCGGTAGTGTAGGGCGTCCACCCACTAGATGGAGTGACGACCTGATAAGACATGCAGGAATTCAATGGACGCATGTGGCTCGAGACCGTGCTTTGTGGCATTCCTTGGCCTATGTTCAACAGTGGACTTGTGAAGAGCTGTAATGATGATAATGATGTACCGTTGAACAAATTTTAACTCTAAGATCTTTATCAGAAAAGAACTTTTTAAGACTATAACATACGGAACCGTATCAATTTTGGTTTCGCCTGAATTTAAAAACATACTGTATTGTAATACTATACTTGTAAATTCCAATAGCAACAAGCTAAATTTACAGAATAACGCATGCAGCAAATCGATGAGAAATAATGAATTTATCGTTTTTAGTTTGTGTCTAAAAAAATAGTAGGTAATTTAAAAATTGTATGTGGCGCATAGAGATGATTAAACATGTGAAAATTTTTAATCTAATATTTTTAATGGCCTTCCTTATGATCGTAGGTAACAACAAAATTGTGTCATAGATATCTTTAGGCGTTTTATTATTATAATGAAGTGTTTGATTAAAAATGGTTCAATGAGCTTACATATTACCTATGTAATAAGCAAGACCGTTAATAACTACGTGTTTTAATACAAATTTTATAATAACCAAGTTCTATATAATGTAATAAACGTTACATTAGTAAAGCATTTTGTAAAACTTATTATTTTGTCTTTCAACGTAACAGTATTTTTGCTAAACAAAAACTAAGGCGTTTCATTTTATATAATACTGCAGCCCGCTCCGACTTTGCCCGGGTTACCGTTACAGCCTATTAACGTCTACTGCTAAACATAAGCCTCCCCCATAGAATACCTCATAGGAGGGATATTTGTCACGCTTAGCAAGCGGGTTGGCAACCGCAGTTTATTTTTTATTTTTAGTCGTTATTAGGAAGACGCTGCTGCACACAGCTGCACATCTTCTGATTTGCTTCACTCTGTCACCTCTTACGACACTAACGGAATGATATAGGGTAATGGATATTCTTATAACGCCTATACAGGGTTGAACAGTTATCTACCTATGTTATGTCTCTCCCGTACCAATATCCTCGCCACCGCCACGCCAACCACTACCATAATTATTTTGTCGCACTAGGGTTTTTGTATAAAAATACTTACTGTGACTTATGGTTAGAAGACATATCTATGCTGTTACGGACATTCGAAAATTCGCTCTCTCTCTTTATAATCTAATAGCGGCCTGCCCCAGCTTTGCCCGGCTTGAACAATCATTTATATTGTTTCATCCGCACCAATGTCCCCGCTACCGCCACCAAATGGTTACTGTGAGTTACCATTAGAAGATAGACATATGCTGTTGCGGCCATACATTATTTTCTTGCAAGCGCACGTTGTGGAAGCTTATACCTATACCTAAAACACAAATAATTATACCTACAAATGAAATTTAGAATAAACTAACTAGTGATCAGTGTTACTAATAAGAGGACAAATAGAATTGAAGCACATGAATATGGTGTGATTGATGAATAATTTATTACAAAGTTTACTTTACTTTGACTTTAAACCAAAGAAACAAACTATAGTCATTAAAACCCTTACTATTTATTTATGCTCCGCACTTTACCCTCACATTTCTGAATTTTGCAAATAGCTCTAATGGCTCCTGTTTCGCCTTCGCAGGAATAGTCTTTACGGCATACTGTTTAATCCCTCCTCTCTCTATTGACTTAAAAGACCGGTTCCAATATATTTAACTTTCCTTTTTCGTTCCTCCTATCTTCTGTTAAACTTTCTCTCTCAAAGGAAGAACAGCGGATAGGAGTATGTCCTGTGCACTATTTTACCTTCTGTATCTTTTATCGTCACTACTGTTTGCTTTTTTTGTATTTCTTTATCTCTTCACATCCGTTGTGGTAAGCTTTTTTCTTCTTCTTCTTCTTTACTGTATGGCTTTTCTTAATAGAGTTCTGCCAACATCAAGTCAGTCATGGGAGAAACAATAGCAAAAGTAAATGAAATCTTGTCTTCCTTTTTATTACTTTATTATGTGAGAGGCTTCCAATCTACAACTAAAAACAACACATAAACGTTAAATATCCTGCCACCAAAATTATTAGTATTATAACACAACTAAATATTATTAGTATAGGTGAAATCACATAAAATATGAACATAATTAGAAAAACACAAGAAACAGCGAACAAATAAAATTAGTAGGACGAGGGATGTTTTGGGGAAGAGTATCATATAGGTAAAACTTAAGCCGTGGACATTCGTCACCCACCGACGGTCGGTCGACCTTCATTAAAATCACACTTAAATAAAGATTTATCTCATATCCTTATTTCGGTTAGATATACTTTTTTGGTTCTTCTTGTGTTTACGTGAACACTACACATTTAAATAAAAAATTTTCGAGACTGACTGAGTACCACAAACGTCGGGAATAGAAAAATATGTTAATGTATACCCGATAAAATCCATAAAAACTAGTTTCATTTATACCAGTGTA